AAGCAGATTCTACCTCTTAACCAGAGATTTTAGAAGTTGTTTATCACAACAGCTTTTCTCTTATCTTAAGAGGGAAAAAGTAAACACTTCCAGACCCTAATCCTATCTGCTTTTCCTGCTTCCCCCTCCCTGATTTCTCCCTCAAACATTCCCCCTTCTACACCCTAAAGCCCCCATATATAAAGTCCCAGCTCACAGCCCGTGGGCTGACATCTTTCCCTTCCCTGACATCTTTCCCTTCCCCAAGGGAAAGGGGCCCCGTGCGAAATAAATCTGTATCCCGCTGAGAATTCTATCTGTGCCTCATCTGCTTGTGCTCTCCACCGCACGCTCTCTCCAACATTTTTATCTATCAATAAGGAAGGATTTGATAGGAATTGAACTAGACTTTCACCCAAGTGCTTTCACTGCTTAAGTCCTTTGTACACACTAGAGTGGTGTCAGTCTGTAGAGTTTGGCAGTGCCATATACATTACAGGGTTTAGATGAAGTCTTTTTTTTCTATTTTTTTTTTCTTTTTCTTTTGGTCTTTTTGAGACAGGGTCTCCCTGTAGCCCCAGCTAGTTGTCCTGGAATTCACTATGTAGACCAGGCTGGTCTTGAACACACAGAAATCCACTTGCCTCTGCCTGCTAGGCACTGGGACTAAAGGTGTGAATTACCACGCCTGGTGAAATCCCTTTTTTTTTTTTTTGGGACAGAACATTTGTGCAGATGTGCTGCCTTAAAAGCTGCATAAGAATGAGTGTTTAGCATTATGAGTCTTGTTATATCAGTGCTGAGCAGCCATGTGTTCCTTAATATCTGAATGAGACCCTATAGTTCTGGTCTGCGGGGATCCAGGATAGGGGTTCTTTGGAGCTCTGAGGGAGTGCTGCTGACTGCATCCCACCTGTCCTTAGGCCTCGCTTGGCCTTTATTCTGTCAGTGCTTTACTGTCAGTAGATGCCAGTCATTTACATTTGCTTTTAAGATTAAACTGAATCCAGAGATAAGTTTGAGGTGAATCTTTGTTTCCTTTTCACGCTCTGGTAGCATCAACATAAAATAATACCACTGCCTTAAAATAAATTAAAAAATAGTTTATTTTTAGTTAAATATGAGTGACTGTGGCCTGGGAACATGGATTCAAGTTACCTGGAATGACATGTTCCACTGTAACTTTTAGTCACAGAACAAAAGAAAGTCATCCAGTCAGTCTGTTTACCAATTGCATTGTTGGGAACATTGGGTAGGCAGGCTACAGGTTTCAGATGTAGCATTCTTATAGGGTTGATGGAGGCTAGAAGTCTCCTAAGCTTAGTGATATATTCTAGGTTTATTAGTCAGGAGAATGTTAGATCAGATACAAAGGTTAAAGTCTTTGGCTAATACAGTGTTTAAAATAGCATAAGATAATTCTGGCTTGTGATCTGTAGCTTTCCATCTTTCCGTAATCACAATGCTCTAGTTAGTCAATGTCAAGGTGTCTGCAGAACCTTTAATATAGATGTAGGCTCTTTAGAGAATTTCAGTTTGCAACGGGAAGATAAAGATTTTGTTTTTTATTGTTAAAAAAATTTATATTTGTGTGTGTGAGAGAAAGAGAGAGAGACAGAGACAGAGACAGCTGCTGAACCATCTATCTCATGGGCCCAGATTTTAGTACACAGTAGAGCAGAGCAAAGGATGATCTTAGCTTTTCTTTCTTTCATGTATTTTCCCCCTCAGTTATTTTAACAACTTAAGAAATAGCTTCATGTTACATAAAACAAAACAAAACAAAAAAAGCCCCTAACTGATTCTGTATCCACTGTCAAGGAAGAATGCAGAGAGGTTTGGCAGGCAACCCAGCCTGCCTAGGGAGTGGTTTTATCTTGGCAGTTTAAATGTTATCTCTTTACTGCTATGCTGTAGTAACTCCTGACTGAATTACTTGTGAGTAGGAATGCTTGTTATCAGTGCATTTTTGTTTAGCTGGCCCTTAGAACACTGTGTTGGTTATTTGAGAGATCAGCAATCATGAGCAAGGAGGTAAAGACCTGTTTGTACATAACTGTTTTAGAAAGACCCTGGGGTCTCTCTTTAAAGGTTTGCTGTACCCTTTACAGGGGTGGACTGCTTCTGGTGGGTATATGGGTTCCAGACTTGTGAATCCATTGCCTGTACTCTTTGTGGCCTTGGGCAAGTTGTTTAACCCACTCTGCCTCAGTTTCATCTGCATGAAGATAATAAAAATGCTTCCATCAGGATTATTGCTAGAGCTGGAGGTGGGAGTGATGCAGGCCTGTAATCTTTAGCACTGAGGCAGACAGGAAGGTCAAAGCTCAAGGCCAGCTGGGCTATGGATTGATTTTTGAGGCAGTCTGGGCTACAGCAGTGAGATTCTGTCTCAAAAAACCCAGGCCTTGTGGATGGTGATCTAGCTCAGTGGTAGAACACTTGCCCAGCACGCACAGAGTCCTAGTTCCCTAGCAGATTTTTGGGAGAATTAAATGAATAATGCATACAAAGCACTGAAATCAGTGTCTGGTACACATTATTGTACTTTATAACTATTACTTAGCTCTATTTGGGATACAAAGGGACAGTGGTTTGAGATTAACAGAAAGTTTACCTTGGAATTTGTCCTATACCTACTTAAATTACTTGTACTCAGATAGGCCCCTTTGAAAGTAGTCAACAGTCCTCACCTCTATCTTGAAGGGGAGGATAGTGTAGCTGTTTCAAATGACCTCTATTATTCTTTATTGCTCTAAGCCCTGTAAAGTACAGCATCCCTTTTGAATTTAAAGCAGCACATGCTGCTATTAATAGCAAGATAAAACTTTATGATTTTCTCAAAATCCACAAAGCAGCCTCTTATTATAGTCAAGACCTTTCTTCTGTAGTTTAACCCTGCAAATATTCTCATTGCTAAAGGAATAATGTCTTTATGCTTTCAAGGGTTCTGGCCAGTTAGTAATTAAACTATGATTGTAGCTCAGGCAAATTAGTTACAAGCATGAAACCTTTGTAGTCCCCTGGTCCCCTTTCTCCCCCTTCTCCCCTCAGCCAGGGAAAGCTGTGTTCTGACTTGCCTTAGGGAACCTGCCTGTGTCTTGGATATGTGGTCCACAAATTCAGTTGGTTCCTAGGAATTCTGGTCACAGTTCCTAGTCTTGAGATAGACCTTCATGACTCCTAGCAGTGGCATTCTCTATGCGCTGTTTTCCTGGTAGTTTTATTATTAGGATCATATGATTTTTAAAGACAAAGACTTTTTCTATGTGCTGTTTTCTTGGTAGTTTTATTATTAGGATCATATGATTTTTTTTTTTCTGGTCTTTTTGAGACAGTGTCTCCCTGTAGCCCCAGCTGTCCTGGAACTTACTATGTAGACCAGGCTGGCCTTGGACTCACAGAGATCCACCTCTCTCTGCTTCCCGAGTGCTGGGATTAAAGGCATGCTCCACCACACCCGGCAGGATCATATGATTAAAAAAATATTTTATTTATTATTATTATTATTTTTTAATGTGTATGCATGTATGTGCACCTGTGTTGTGCAGTGCCCGTGGACAGAAGAGGCCGTTGGATCCCCTGGAACTGGAATTACAGACAGTTGTTAGCAGCCATGTGGGTACTGGGATTCAACCCCGGGGCTTCTGCAAGAATAGCCAGTGTTCTTAACCACTGAGCCATCTCTCCAGCCCCTGGATCATATGATTTTTAAAGACAAAGACTTAGTCATATGCCCTGTCATAGCTCTGTTGTCAACTTGACATACCTAGGAAAAGGTGAGCTCAGTTGAGGAATTTCCTCCATCAGATTGGCCTGTGGGCATGTGTGTGGGGCATTTTCTTCATTGCTGATTGATGTGGGAGGACCCAACTCACTGTGGGCAGTGCCACCCTTGGGCAGGTGGGCCTGGACTATATAAGAAAAGTAACTGAGCAAGCCAGAGGAAGCAAACCAATAAGCAACATTCCTCCATAGTCTCTCGCTTCAGTTTTGGCTTCCAGGTTTCTGCCTTGATCTGTCCTGGCTTCCATCAATGATGAACTATAACCTCCCCAAGTTGCTTTGGTCAGTGTTTTATCATAGCAAGAAAAGCAAACTAGGATGTGCCCTGATTAGTTTCATCAAAGTTGATATCAGTTTTCTTTATAAAGTTAATTTTTATTTCTCTGTGTGTATGTGTACATATATAGTTATAGGCATTTATGAGCCACTTGATATGGGTACTGGGATCCCTAATCCAGTTCCCTGATAGAGTAGTACACTCTTCATTACTGAGCCATCTCTCCAGACCCCTAACTTTAATTTTTATGATTATCAATTATATTTACCTATGGTATAAAAGATCAGACTTCTAGAGTGCTTATGATAAAAAGTGGCATTCTCCTGTCATGTTCCCCCTTTCTTTGGCAGTCTGTTCCAAAGTCAACTGCTTTTTAACTTTTTCATTTATTTCTAATGGCTGTCTTCATATTTCTAAATAATATGCATATATGAATAAATTTTGAATTTTCAAACTTAGATTTTGATCTATAGATTTCCTTCAATGGAAGATTTCACTCTTTTATACTATTCCTTTTCTTGTCCTCCTCATATGGGCTACATAACTGCTTGGTTAAGTCAGTTAACGACAGTTTAACATACACTAATAGTGAGGCTCTATGCTTAAATTCTAGCCTCATTACCCTCTCAACATCTGTGATTTTTATTGATTGATTGCTACTCCAGTTACCAGAGGGTTCTTTATTAGGGTCCCAGGGGTCATGACCCACAGGCTGCCTCAGCTCTACTTGACCTTCTTCTTTGGGCACAGATTGTTGGTGTGGCCACACTTCTTGCAGCTATTGATGGCTTGCAGGTGCAGGCAAACGAAGCACTTGCTGGCAGATCAGCATGCTGCATTTGTACTTCTGGGCGAGCTGGCGAAGAGATGGCTCAATGATGCTACCTCGCAGGCACAGCACCAGGTGCAGGGTGGACTCCTTATGGATGTTGTAGTTGGACAGGGTCCAGCCATCCTAAGAAATATGGAACACTTCATGATTTTGTGTGTCATCTTTGAGCAGAGGCCATGCTAATCTCTATTGTTCCAATTTTAGTATATGTGCTGCCAAAGTGAGCACTACTTATTTATTTTTAAAAAGTATTTCATTTTTATTTTATGTGCATGAGTGTATTGCACCATGTATGTAAGTGCACCCATTGTCATGCAATGTCTATGGAGGTCAGAAGAGGGTATGGAAATCTCCTGGAACTGGAGTTAGGGACTGTTGTTAGCTGGCTTGTGGATGCTGGGAATTGAGCCTGGGTCCTCTGTAAAGTGCAGCCAGTGCTCTTAACTGCTGAGCCATCTCTCCAACCCTGAATTATTATTATTATTATTTGATTTTAGCAAGTTTTGAAGTCTTAGTTTCTGAATTTTCTCAACTGAGTAGGCAGGCACCTCTTTAAATGATTCCAGTTCCAGGGACTCTGACCCCCTCTTCTGACCTCTGAGGGCATTGTATGACATGCGTGCACTTACATACATGAAGTACACTCATACATATAAAATAAAAATAATAAAAAAGACTACTGAATGACTTAATGCTACTATAGTTTAAATTTGTCAAAGTTCATCTGTTAAACTCTCAGTGCGACAGTATTGAGAAGTGGGGTCTTTAAGAGGTGATGGTGTCATGAAGGCTGTACCCTCAGGAATGGATTAATGCCTATTGTGGGAGTAGATTCCTCTCTTTTGTTTTTCCTTTTTTCTCTTCTGTGTTAGTTACTTTTCTCATCAGTGTTACAGCAGCTTAAGGGAATAAGGATTTGTTTTGACTCACAGTGTCAGGGGATTTCAACCCATCTTGATGGAGAAGGCATGGCAGTGGGAGTGGAAGCATGCAGAGATAGGTCACACTGCAGGGTCGGACAGAAAGGCCAGACAGGAAATATAGCCCTAAAGGGCCTACCTCTAGTGACCCATCTCTGCCAGCCAGGCCTCACACTCTCCAAAAACAGTGCCACAAGCTATAGGCCAGGTGTTCAGATTCAGATAATAACACTTTCCCATATGTGGTGCCTTCTGTTATGCTGTGACACTACAATGCCTAGCGGTCACCTTGGACTTTCCAGCCTCTAGAACTTTGAGAACTAAGATACTTTTCTTTATAAAAGGAAGGACATCCCAATCTATTATTCTGTTATTGTAGCACAGAATAAGCTAAGATACTTAATAGGAAGCATCTAGACTCTTGAGTGTCTAGGCATAGTACATTTTAAACAAATTTCAGCTGTTGTCATCAACATCTTCATCATCTGTGGACATCCAGTACCACCCTCTTCATCTAAAGGAAGAGGCTGGTATGGCAGTTAAAGGTCAACTGCAAATCATTCTTGCAGGCCTTGCCTGGTAAGCTTATGTCATGGATAGTCAGAATTTGAACCTCCTGTGGCTGGGCCATTATGAAAGACAAGAGAAGCCCAGAGGGCCTGGTTGAACAGGCTCAAAGGCATCAGTCAAGTCCTCTTCCCCCAGAGTAGTCACTGAAATGGTCCCTGATTGGGCCAGAGGCTAAAGAATGAGGGAGGGTTCCTGTTACAAATCTCTGCTTGTATAGTATTAGGATAGTTGTTTTTTAATTTGTTCTGTGGGCACATATTTATATTCTCCACAATGTAATTACTTATTGCATTACTTTTTAATATTTATAACATCCAAACTTATAAATGTGAGGTATCTTTTTAGGAAAATTTGTTACATTTCTTTGCTCTTTTTAAACCAGATCCTTCCAGCAGGTAGTACCCCAACCTAGCAGTACTTTGAGATTGTTTCTGGCCTACTTGTCTTTTGCCCAGAATAATTTGTTCAAAATACAGAAATTTGTTGGGTATGGAGGCTTGCTCATGCTTGTAATCCTGGCACTTGCAAAGCAGAGGTAGGCCAGTGTGATCTACATGGTTTTAGGCTAGCTAAGGTTACACAGTGAGACTTTGTCCCAAAACAAATAAGCAAGCAAGCAAACAAAGCAAAACAACAACAAAAACAAAATATAGAAATTTAGGAAATTCTCAATGATATTAAAAAAACTTAAACAGAATTAAAAAACCTTTGGATATGTGTACATATCTGTGTATATGTAGTGTACATGTTTTATACCACCATGTGGAGGCCAGAGGAGCCATTTCTTAGGATAGTCTATTTTGGTTTTTTTTTTTTTTTTTTTGAGCTTGCAGCTTGCTAAGTAGGCTAGGCTGGTTGACCAATGAGTCTCAGATCTATCTGTCTCTACCCCTTAGTGCTGGGATTATAAGCACATGCCACTGTGTCTGACTTCTTTTTTCTTTTAATTTTATTTTTATTTAATGTGTATAGGTGTATTGCTTGCATGTAGGTAGGTGCACCCGTGTTGTGCAGTGCCCTCGGAGGTCAAAAGAGGGCCTTGGATTCCCTGGAACTAGAGTTACAGACAGTTGTTAGCTGCCATGTGGGTGTTGGGAATTGAACCTGGGTCCCCTGCAAGAGCAGCCAGTGCTCTTAACTGCTGAGCCATCTCTCCAGCTCCTCCACTTTTTAAAAAATGGATTTTAGAGCTCCAATTCAGGTCCTCATGCTTGCCAGTGAAGCACTTTACTGTCTGAGCTATCTCCTCAGCACTAAGAAAATTAATTTATTTATGTGTATATTTATGTATATATGTGTTTTGTATGTATTTGTGTGGTATACACACATGTGTTTGTGGGTCTACACCCCTGGACACACAGAAATTAGAGAAGGATGTCAGATGTTCTCTCTCTCTCTCTCTCTCTCTCTCTCTCTCTCTCTCTCTCTGGTCTTTTTGAGACAGGGTCTCCCTGTAGCCCCAGCTGGCGTGGAACTCACTGTGTAGACCAGGTTGGTCTCGAACTCACAGAAATTCACCTGCCTCAGCCTCTCAAGTACTGGGATTAAAGGCTTGTGCAACTATGCCCAGCCATCACTGTCACTGAACCTGTATCTAAGTTGGTGGCCACCAAGTCCCTATGATCCTCCTGGCTCTGCCTCCCCCATACACTGGGGTTAACAGGCATGCCTGGCCTTTTGTGGTGGTACTACAGATTTGAATTCAGCCCTCATGCTTGTGTGCAAGCACTCTTACACACTGAGCAATCTCCTCAGCCCCCCAAATGTTTCTTCTGAGGAGTAATTTTAGAGAGATTTGCTTTATATTCAGGCATGCTGAGTAAATTGATTTCATTTTCAAAGAAATATATGATCCTCCCTTTACCCCACTTCTGGACCTGTTCATTTTCTTTATTCTTAGACTCTCTGCCCTTCACGTTGTCACTTTTCCAGATCCTTATTTTCACTGCTTTCATCTTCTAACTGCTAGTAAATCTTGTTGATTTTCTCACATCTCGTGTCTAACCCCTTGGTACTCACTCTACTGCTTCTGAATTCAGATTAGTGTCATTTGTCACTTGCAGTAGTCTTCTACCTTCCTCCCAGTTTCCCATATGAATAGTCTTTTCTCCAAAAACTATTGCCAGAGTGAAAGCTTTTTTGTTTGTTCATTTTTATTGTTGTTTTAAGACTGTCTCTCAGCTGGGCAAGGTGGCTCATGCCTTTAATACCAGCACTCAGGAGGCAGAGCCAGGCAGATCTCTGTGAGTTTAAGGCCAGCCTGTTGTACACAGTGAGTTCCAGGCCAGCTAGGGCTACAGGGATACCCTATCTCAGAAAGACCCAAAACAACAACAAATAACAAAAAACTGCCTCTTGAAGGACGAGGTGGAGGAACTGGAATTATTCAGCAAGGACAAAAATAAAATAATAAGGTACCAGTGGGAATTCCAAGTGATACACACCCTCTGAAAGACCAAATTTACAGGCTAAAGGCATAGAAGAGTTTTCAAAGACTTGTGACAGAAAGTTTCCTAGAGTTAGGAAAAGAAATACAGGAGGCAGTTAAGGTCACCAGAGAAGGCCAGAAAAGAACTTTCCCTCATCTTGTTATAATTAAAACACTGAATATACAGAACAAAGGAAGTATATTGAAAGTGACAAGAGAGAAACACTGAGTCACAAGTAAAGGCCAGATTATCCAGATGAAGCATTAAAGGCCAAAAGGGCGTGGAATGCTATACTTGAAGTTCAGTAAGATAACAACTCCCAATCTAGAATACTAGGTACCCAGCAAGGCTGTTTGTGATAATTGAAGGAAAAATAAAAACTTCTCATGATAAAAGTAGACTAAAGGAATTTATGACCCCTAAAGCCAGCTCTACAGAAGATACTTAAAGGAATACTTAAGACTGAAGAGAAAAACATAACCATCCATGAGGTCACAGGAAAGATTAAACTATGCTAGAATACTACTAAGCAAAAGAGGAAGAGAAAACCCCTCCCCCCCAAAAACTCAAACACTGCAAAATCAACAAAACGGCAGGAATCAACATACAACTTGGAATAGTAATCCTGAGTATTAATGGCCTCAATTCCTCAGTCAAAAGACACAAACAGTAGATTAGATAAAAATGAAATTATGAGGGGCTGGAGAAATGGCTCAGCGGTTAAGAGCACTGACTGCTCTTGCAGAGGACCCGGGTTTGATTCCCATCACCCACATGGCAGCTACGAATCGTCCTTAACTCCAGTTCCAGAGGAATCTAAAGCCTTCTTCTGACCTCTGTGGCATTGCATGACATGGCTGCATTCACATACATGCAGGCAATACACTCATACACATAAAATAAAAATAAAAATAAAATTATGAGGGGGCTAGAGAGATGACACAGTTCTTAGGAGTACTGGATGCTCTTGCAGAAGACCGGGGTTCAAATCCCAGTACCCATATGATGGTTAATAACCATCCATAACTCCAGTTTCAGGGGATCTGATGCCTTCTTTAGGCCTCCTCAGGCACTGCAAGACATGGGTGTACTTATATAACAGTTGTATACATAAAAAATAGTTAAAAGATTATGAAATATGTGCAAAAATAGATGGAACTGGAAAATATATTAGATAAGGTAATATAGACTCAGAAAGACAGATGCCACGTGTTCTCTCATATGTGGGTCCTAGCTTTGAATTTTTAGGTTTGTGTGTCTAATTTGGCTTGTTTCTGGAGGTCAAGAAGCTAGAAAGGACCCATAAGAG